TATTCAAAAATGTGAGTAGCGATTTTAGTTTCAAAGGACATGATGGAGTTGCTCTCTCTAATTTCGGTTGGTAAAGAATTCCAAATGTGTGCCCCGTCAAACATGAAACTTTTTTTCAAGCTATTTGTACGCGGCTGTGGTAAGCAAAGGGTACTTTCCACATCTCGAAGTTTATAATTTGTCATTTCACTTTTGAAAGTAAATAAATCAGTAAGTGATTTAGGACCCATTTTATTCAACAATTTAAACATCAGTTTGGACTTAGCCTTTATTCTTTCCGTTTTAAGTGGCTTCCAGTCTAAAACATCTAAAGCAACCAGATGATCTACATCATTGCTCATATTCATTATGATTCGAGCAGCTCTGTTTTGGAGCTTTTGGAGGCATTTTGATTGTGTTTCACCAAACACATCCCATACTTCACAGCAATATGTAAAGTATGGGCGAACAATAGAATTATACACAGAGACAACTCAGACAAGTGTATCTTTCTCAACAAATTCTTTTATTTGACGAAGAGCTGATATCCCGGATGTTATTTTCTTGCAAATTGTTTCAGTATTATTCTTCCAAGACAAATGCTGGTCAACAGTCACTCCAAGAGTTTTGCAATCATATACTTTTTAAATTGGTTTGTTTTCTATGATAATGTTTGGTTGTCTATTTGAGATACTTTTTATCATTGGTTTAGATCCAATTAATATAAATTCTGTTTTGGCCACATTTAAACTTAGTTTATTGGCAATTAACCATTTCCTAAGGTTTCCTAAATCAGAATTCATTGCAGCTTCAACATCATTTATAGATTCTCCCGCAGCTGTTAGGTTTGTATCATCAGCAAACAGTCGAGGTTTTGTTTTGCTTAGACACTGAGGCAAGTCATTAATATATAATAAAAAGAATAATGGCCCTAAAAGAGAGCCTTGTGGCACGCCACACTTAATCAACCGCTCCGATGAAATAGTTCCATTAACTTGGCATTTCTGAGTGCGATTTATCAAGTACGATTTTAGTAGAGCCAAAGCATCTCCTTTTACGCCATAAATTTCGAGGTTTTTTAGTAAAATCTGGTGGTCGACAGTATCAAATGCCTTTTTTAAATCAATTAGTACAACCAAGTTAAATAATTTTTTGTCAATATTCATATACCAACTATTAGTACAGTCTAGTAACGCTGTAGAAGTTGAGTGAGATTTGCGAAAGCCAAATTGACAATCATTAAGTAGCTGAAATTTCGTCAAATAATGATATAGTTGGTCATATAAAATTCTTTCCATAACTTTGCTAACAGCTGGCAGTAGTAATATAGAGGCCGATCGGGCCGGATTTTTGGGGCGGCGCGGGGCGGCGTGGGGCGGCGCATCATCATTAACATACGTCATAATTATATGTAATGACGTCACGCGGGCAGGTTTAAACAAGATCGGGCAAAACTTGCTGACTAGGCATTTTTTAGCGTCCCCCCACGTATGTGGTACAATGGAGGGATTAGGATTGGCTTACTTTGATTGGTTGTTTGATTTAACGAGCGTCTGTATAAAATCGACAAGCGTCCTGTAACAAACATAGTTCTGCATTTGTTAACGCTCTTACTGGAGTTCTTTTGGGTAGCTGATTTTGTTAAATTTATATTCGGAGAGAAGTACTTGGAAGAGAATGGCCCAGCAACATCGAGAGAATATTTGGTAAGTTTAATTTGAACTGAAAATTAATATAATATCGAGAGTTTTGTGTATGTAATCGACTTCTATATTTTGTAGGAGAGATCAATTTATGAGCGAACTGGAAAATGACGATGTCAATCGCCAGCTTTGCGCCGTTGCTGCGGATGAAATGTTCGAGTCCTGGTCGTCGGAGACGCAGGAGCAGATTTTGGCTGAATGGAATGATTGGCGACGAGACGAAAACCCTGGACATAGCTGTGATGAATGTGGCAAAACATTTACACGATCCAGCGACCTAAAGCGCCATACAAAACGTGTACACACTGGAGAAAGAGCTTTTTCTTGCAACCATTGTGACAAATCCTTCGCTAGGAAAGATATGTTGAAACGTCACGAGAAAGTCCATAGCAAGGAAAAAGTATACGAATGCCATAGATGCCACAAAAAATTTGCTCGAAAGGTATGTAGTACCGACAGTTTATATTCTAGCTGCGATGTATTTTAAACTATTATATTTATTTATTATTTTTCAAGGACAAACTGAATAGGCATATGAAAATGCACGAACGAAGAGGCGCCGAAAGGGAGTATACTTGTAATGATTGTGGTGAGGTGTTTCGAAATATATTCCCCTTACAAGCCCATCAGCGTGATGTCCATCAAACTGGTGGTGGTAGACGTACTAAGACGCCGACCCGGCGAACGAAAAGGCAGAGAACTGATGAACCAGGTATGTATAAATGAAAATATTTTGATTACTAACTTTGTATTTATACATATATATTTTTTCTTTTAAGAACCGCCGTCATCTTCGACACGCGTTAACGAAGGTAAGAGAGTATATATGCTGTGTAATAATTTGGGTTAAAATCACACTAATACATTTTTTTCCCTTTTCAGGTGCTTCCACGTCTACAGTCGTCAGCGAAGGTAAGAAATTCATATTTTTATACCGTATATAGTATATTGATTGTGGTGATTTGATGAATATATGAACAATGTTAATTACTCGCAACCTCGGTTTTAAAACATTGCCTGAAATCCTAACGTTTACATTTGAAAAATATTTTCATGCTGTTTTCATGTTGTTTCACTGATGTTTGTGTTTTGAAAACCTGATAAACATAATCGAGTAATCTTTAAGCGTGGGTTTATAGCGTGGACTGTTCCTAATCATTCATATTAGACTTATGTTCATTTGCTTTAGAACAATTAATTTATATCATTGTACGAGCATTTAAGCTACATCATTTTTATAACATTCCCTAGCGTTTTATAGTGAGGTAAAAATAATCAAGTAATTTTTATAGCGTGAGTTTATAGTGTGGAATGTTCCTAATCATTCATGTTAGACTTATGTAACATTCGCTAGCGTTTTATAGTGAGGTAAAAGTAATTTTGGTTGCGTGGGTTTATCATGTTGCTATGTGAAATTTGCATGTTCCTAATTTATTCATGTTAGACTTATGTCAATTTTTTTATGAATCGGGTGTTTGTATGACAAAATTAGTGCGAAGCTCTAGACAAAAATAAAGAATCGGGTGTTATTTTCTATAGGCCCCCAACCGTTCCCTCAAGATCCCCTATTACCCCCATCTAACCTTCCTTCCCAACTCCACCGAGATCATTGGCGTGTTATACGTACGCGACAAAGCCGAGGCAATCGAGTGCAAGACTGGCATAATTATCGTTTGAGTTCGTTGAATATGGGTCAACTTGTCAACGATATAGACCGTATATTTAAAGATCAATCGACCGTCTTTAAATTGAATTTCTCCTTTGGCTTTGTTTTGTTTAACAATGACACAGAATAACTGCAATATCACCACCCCTCAGCTAACAACAACCGTGTCTTCGACTCCCCATTCCAGATTAATAACCGCGAAGATTTGGTTCAAGTGCGTACAGCGTTGGAAAACATCGACATTCATGAATGGGCTCGACAACAGCGTCCCAACTCCAAATGGATTGTCATGGATTTCACCAACGCTACTTTCTACGCCACCAAACTTCGAGACCATCCCATAGGTCGAAGTGTCCGACTACCCAAATACGTATTGGATAATCCTGCCATTGTGTCGCTCGACTGTGATAAAAACACTGGCTTGCCATACGAGGACAAACTATGCCTCTTTCGTTGTTTGCCCCAAAACACCGTGGATGTCACCCCAAAAATTTAGAACGTGATACTAAGCATTTTTACGAACAGTATTCTGACGCGGAAGAATTCGATGGTGTTACCCTAGAGGAACTACCTGAACTGGAAAAGTTATTCGAGTTAAACATTTACGTGTATCGCCTTACAGAGCTACCCGACGAGGACGAAGACAAGACCTCCATTGTGGCTCAACTGATACAGCGCTCCCACCGTAGATATGCCAATTCGATGTATCTGAACCTCTACGGTAGTCACTTCAGCTACATTAAGAATTTGGCCATGTATTCCAAGTCCTACTGTTGTTGCAAATGTGACAAAATGTGGAAAACGGCCAAAGCCTTGAACAAGCACGAGCGAACCTGTGATGGAACTATACGTCACATCTTCCCTGGTGGTGCCTACAAAGTTCTACAATCTATCTTCGACTTGTTGGCCGATGAAGGAATCGAGATCCCTGAAGACCTCAAGTACTTCCCTTATCGCGCCACCTTCGACTTTGAATGTTATT